CTGTGAGCTCAAAGTCCTCGAAACTGCAACCATCTGCCCCCACACGGGCGAGAGTGCTGTTAATTGAGCCAAACTGGCCTCCGCTGATGGATAGAGCCGGACACAGTTCAGCTTAGCTACCGGCTGAGCGTTCCTGATCTGGTTTGCGAGCTGCCTAACCTCTGTGTTATTGAGGTGCTGAAAAGATCATTGGAGGTGGTGGCTTCGGTTCAAAGGATACTCAGTGTTCCGTGAAGCCAAGGGAGAGAGAATATGAAATGCGCAGCACCATCAAAAATCAACACAAAATAATTAATGAGATATATTAACAAGATTGCGGCGCTCGTGTTAATTAAAGGCACGCAGCATTTTAAGGAACTTATTAACGCTGATGGTATTTGCGGATTCCGAGGCTTAAAGGTCGAAGTGACTCAACCAAGGTTAAGCACTTGCCGAGGCTGTAAAGTGACTGCTGGGACGTGATTACGAATCCTTTAACAAAGAGCCGGTTGGTGTAACAGACAGCAGAGACTTGGGATCTGTCTGTGTGCTCGTGTATCAGTGCCTGTCGGTGAGGCTGCTGTCGACAGCGTTAAGAGTCTGCACCAACACAGCCATTGTCATCCCATTGCCCCCGACACTCGCCTCTGGAAGTCTGGGAGTGATGGGAAGAGAGCTGACAGATAACAACCTCCCCTAATTCCTTCTCCAGCCCCATTGAGGGAATGAGAATGAGTCCCTCTTCGCGCCCCCCCACTCCCACCCTATCGACACCGACACATGCGTGGAGAACGGGCAAACACACTAGACCCCAGTACAGTATTATTATTATTATTCTAGTGCCCAGATTTACCTCAGGCCTAGACCGGTTAAGTGACGTGCCAGCACTAGCACAGGTACGATATAGAGACCTGTAGCGTATTGGTTAAATCACTCGCCTCACTTCGCTCGCCTTGCAAGGGAGAGGACCCGGGTTCGATTCCCAAGCGGGGCAAAACCTTAGGCAAGGTTCCTCTGTTTACCCAGCAGTTAGTAGGAACCCGGTTGTTGGGCGCTGAATCAAATGCAAGGTTTATTTATTATTATGATGCCGGTCAGCCTCCTCCTGTGCTGTAACATCTACAATTCCGGAAGGCTGACGGAGACAGCTTGTGGCTGGCACGAGGAATCAGTGCTCAAAGAGTTAATTATGTTTAACTGGATGATTTCCTCTGGATGTAAGGTGCTGGCTCTTGACCCGAGAAATGTCGGAGAGAAGAGAAGCAGCTTCCCTGAATCCGTCCCTCACGGCAAATCGCAGGAAGCTGCAGCTCCAGAAATTAGTGATTCCGCACACGCAGGAAATCGGCCATCAAATGATTTCTGAAGGAAGGATTTAATTGGGAGCTGAACCGGAAAAATCATTATTTTTTTTTACAGAGAAAATATATTTGCTGCACGAGGGTTTCTGGGAACGTTGCGAGCCACCGCGCAAGAGTTTGGATAAAGTTCTCCACTTAACCACTCGCCTCGCGAGCGAGAGGACCCGGGTTCAATTCCCGGGCGGGACAAAACCTTAGGCAAGTTTCCTTACTCCACGCGCCTAGTAGTCGATAGGAACCCGGTTGTTAACTCCTGCGAAATGGCTCGTCCTTGGGACAAAAGGACTATCGTTTGGAGACACGGAAGCTCCCAGACCGGGTTAAGACTCCAGCCTGTACTGGGGGGAGCTCCATCGTTGGAGGAGCAGTCCTTCAGATGAGATGTTAAACCAAGGTCCTGTTTGTACCCTGTTCAGTTAGAGCTGACAACATCCTGCGATGCTGTTGGAAAAGGGAAGGCAGAAATTCTCTTGTGTCTGGAGCATCAATCCTCTAGATAAATAGGCTCGGTTTTAATGTCTCATCCCACAGTGGCGTGTCGGCTTACACTGTGAGCTCAGTTCCCGTCACAAGCAGGGTTTGAACACACAACCTCTTGACTGCGAGGCGAGAGTGTTACCAACTGAGCCGGGCTGACAGACCAGACCCCTTGGATTGAGTTACTCAGACACTTTGCTGCTGGTAACAAAACGAGGCGGATGGAAAAGCTTTAGCTGTGTTTTTTTTTAACATACAATACATTTATTTTATATTTTATTGGCTTGTCACATCTTTTTCCGATTTCGCGCAACAAAAAGCTTTTACTGTCAAACTCTGAAACTCCACTGCATTAATAACGGCTGCTCGGGCGATGGCTTTCATTTCACAAAGGGCTCGGCACTGAGGAGTCTGGTTTGCTCTTTACGCCTCGAAAAATGCATCAGGCTTAAAGGTTGGCGGGGCATTCGGGCTCAGTGTGGGGAAGGACCCTATGCCCACTGCCCCCCACCTTCCACCTACCTCCCGCCCTCCCCCTCCCCTTCCACTCCGATACCTAAAGCTAATAATAATCCTTGCATTTGAAAACAACAACAGCTTGCACTTTTAAAGCTCCCTCCACACAGGGGTAGCGGCTCAGAGCACTTGCAGCGCCTTATCTGATATTGCGCCTTATCACGTCGTTGAGACGTCTCAAAGCGCTTGTGAAGTGAATTGACTTTATTTTGCGGGCGAAACGCGCACAATAAAGCAAGACAGGACGAGGCCGTTCAGCCCCGCAGTTTACTGCATGACAACAGATCTTTTAATCCCATTTCCTTACCTTTTCTCCAACTCAGGCCCGCCCCCCCCAATCCCCCAACCCCCCTCCCACCCCGGCTCCACAGCATTCTCACCACCCAACGCGCGACCCACCGTTTTCCGACTTGTGTCTTAGTTTGGGGCTGCGCAACGTCCCCGTGTTTTTTCGAACCCTCTAACCGAGGGGCTCGGACTGAGGGTTGAGAGCCCCAGGTGCGAGGACAAGCGAGGTATGAATGCGGTGCTCAGCGCTGAGTTCGCTGAGCCTCCGCTCTCCGCTATCAGCCTGGGTAGCCAGCGATCTTGCGACATTCTAATCTGCTCCGCGCACCTGGTCCCGGCTTAAGAGCGAGTGGAGAGGAAAAGCTGCTCGGAATGAAAAGCAAAACTGTTTGCTGTACAAAGCAATTCTGCATTCCTTTCCATAATCCCTTAGAAACCAAGTGGCACATCACCCTGAAGGCATACATGACAGTCAGCTCTGTAATCACGCTCACCCCTGGCTCAGAGAGCAGCTCTGGGTACTGGTTGACATTCACTTAACACTGCCTTCCCCGCTATTTGTTTTTCCCGTTTCCACAAAACAAATGACGCGACGACATCCACAGAGCTGGTGCCTCGGCTCATTCTGTCAGAAGCCACAGCACGCACACGCCAGGACACGCGCAGGCCAGGACACGCACACGCCATGACCACCCTCCTCTCTCCCACCACCACCCACCCCCCCACCAACCCAACCCAAACACTCCGGAGCCCATGATACAATCTGCTTCCATCAGTTATCTATTTCGAACCCCAGCCCCATGAACGAAGCAGAGAGATTCGCTGAGCCCCCAAGCACTGTGCCGAGATCGGGGAAGGGGAGGGGATAACGGATGCAAAAATGTCACGTTTCCTAACATAATTATCACACGGATTCTGTTGTCAAACATGACGTTTTTCACCCCCGGGATAGGTCTGTGCTTTAATCTAGTTTTAGGAAACGTTAAACTGACTGAGGCAGAGGCACAAATCTTGTCAATTTGTCACAAAGTTTTATATATATATATATAAAAGAGAGATGAAAGCATTGATAGGAAGTCTGAACTGCGCAGAAAGTCGGGGCACGCACTTGATCAGCATTTAGCTGCGCTCATTTTCATTCCGATTCAAACCCAACCCCCCGCCCCCCACCAGCTCTTTTACCTCTTTAATATTTACAGATTGCAGGCGTGGGAGTGTTGCTCATCTTACATGCTCGCCGTCCACCCTCCGTGCCTGTGTGCGTGCTGCGTGAGTACGCGTGCACGCACACGTGGACAGACGGGCGCACGTGCGTGTACACAGTCGCCACCCATATAGGTGCTGGTATACGTTCCCTCTGTGTCTGTTTACCCGCGTGTCTGTACGTGTGCGTGTCTGTACGTGTGCGTGTGTGTGTGTGTGTCCCCGTGCACGTGTGTTTTCAGCGTACGTGTCGTTTCCGTAACCGCAGGTTAATCTGGGCTCTGGCAGCAGCGCAGACAAACCCGTGCAGAGAACGCCCCACAAAATATACAGTCACTACACTTTACCTTTTATTCTGTGAAGCGCTTTGAGACGTCTCGAAGACGGGCTAAGGCGCTGGGTCACATGCGAGGACTGTTATTGTTATTATAACATGGTTCTCGGGCGTTAAACTCCTGAGTGAGCAACAAAAAAAATCAACCTGGGCTTTTTACTTATTTATTTCTTGAAAAAGTGCTCCTACTTTCCGAGGTTCGTTCAGTGACGATGCTTCAGAGCCGGTCATTAAAGTCGAATTGATTTTCCAGAATGTTCTCTTCACACTTCCTCGAAATGCGGTCCCATGCCCGCGATAAAAGCTGTCAGTGTTAATCAGCAGCGTTCTCCGTCTGGCTGTTTCTGCTGCCATTAGCCACAGCGCCTCACTTCACTGAAGTCTTTGCTTTTGTTTCTTAAATTTAAACCTCGTTGTCAACTGGCCTGTGCCTTTCACTCATCGTAACGAGACACACGCACTGTATTCCGCTCAGGGTCTCAGTCACCCACAGACACCTCCCTCCACATCTCTCTGAGACACAAGATCAAATCCAAACGACGGTAAATCAATCTCTTCCTCGTTCCGCTGCCAATTTGCTGAACCCGTTGCCCGCCTGGGCTTCAGACAACGGCTGGAACTTGCACAGGACTGGAGCCCAGAATTCCACCTAGTCTTAGCCCAAGCGACTATTCGTGGAAAAGTTCCTCCGTTGTGTCTTAATCTGGACACCGGTTTCCGGCAGATCTTAAACAGAGATAGCCCTCGCTTGCTGATCACCGTAGGCAATCAATCCCCTCCTCCGCACCGCCCGCCCCCCCCCAACCCCAACCCCACCCACCTGGATCAGAATGAAACCTCACCTGAAGAAGCCAGTAGCACCTCCGGTGGAAAGTGGGGATGATGGAAGAATGCACGTAACATCCGTAAAGACACTGCGGAGACAAAAAGGAAGACAGATGAGTCTCATGCACTTGCCTGCCGGCCTGCCTTTGTAGAGTCTGTTCACGGCTGCCATCGATCATAGGTCGTTAAGTGGCAAACTGCTTTTGAATTCGGTCTTTGACTTCTGAAGCCGTTTCCCGCAGTGTCTTGGAAGAAAGTTTACAGAAAAACGGCTTCAGAATTCAGGCCGTGTGTTGACAAGAGACAACTGGCTGTGAACTGCACCTTTACTTTAGCACAGACCCTAAGCAACCCATGCGGAACAGGAGGCGGAGGGCACAGCTGGTTGCAACATGCCCCATGTCATGGCACCTCCTGGATCAGAGTTGGTGCCCAGGTAGTCAGGGTGAAAAAGACCTCCTCTCTCTGTACGGTTGTGAGTTCAGGGCATTCTCAACCCACTTGCTAATGGGCACGGGTTCAAAACACAAGGCTGCATCTGATTAGGCTCTAATTGGCACTCAAGGCAGATGTGTTTGAAGCAAAAGCAAAGAGTGAGCTTTTATCCTCCGTCAAACAAGCGCTGTGCATTGGCGGCTCGTGGTTTGACTTCGAGAATTCGAGAGATCGTCCCGGTTACCCCCAGCACGTCTTGTTGAGCCCAAGAAATCACAAAAAAATATATAATTCAGTGTAACAGAACAGTTAATTCCTGCTCATCTTCCCTCAGTTGGGCTCATCCAAGGCCGATATCCTACTCCGGCCCACACTGCACTTGCTCTTAAAATTGAAGGCTACTCAGAACTGGCTGCCGTGTTTTGCCTACAAAGCAACAGCAACAACAACTCACATTTATACAGCACCCTTCACGCTGGGTTGCGTCTTGGAGCGCTGACACCCGCAGCTCAGGTGCAAACCCTTCATCGTCCAGGGTCTTGGGACGTCCTCCCGAAGTGAAAGGCACTTTATAAATGCAATTTGTTGTTGTTGTACCCAGTGTCCTGTCACCTGTCGTTGGACTCTGCATTGTAGAGTCACTACACTTTGCCGAATATCCGTGAAGCGCTTTGAGCCATCACACCAACGGGAAAGGCGCAATATCAAATGCAAGGATTATTAAGAAGGATTGTGAAAAAAATTCTTCAACGTCAATTTTGAAGCTGTTTCTTTCGAAGGACGAGGAAAAACCTGCTGCTAAATTAAGTTCCAAAATTCTGAATGGTGTTAAGCTGGAAGGCAGTTTACGCAGGTCGGGACTGACATTTAACTTTCTCAGCAACTTAGAAATGTTTGCAAATTCTTAAACCACTGCCTTCATTCTGAAGCAGTTTTTCTGTAAACTTTGTCGACAATTTGTCCTGTTCTGGACGTCAGTCTAGACCCGGCTGGCATTTCTCTCCGCCACCCTTCCCTTGGTATTTTATTAATAATATTAATCCTTGCATTTTTATCGCGCCTTATCACGACGTTGAGACGTCTCAAAGCGCTTTACGGGATATACTGTAAAGTGGATCTTGACTGTGTGTTTTGTGGGCGAAACCCGGCAGTCAATTGCGCACGGCTGTGTCCCGCAGGCAGTCGTGGATTGAGCGACCGAGTATTTTTTTTAGGCTTTGAGACCCTGATGTTTGGATCTCTGATGATGGCTCTGTGCCACGATTAGAATCAGTGTTTGTCAAACGAGCACTGGTCCAATTGTTTCACATCATGTACAGCACAGAGGGAGAGCCACACAGTCTGTGACTCCAAACCCCGGTTTTAATTTGCTGTCAATCACTGCTCCATCTCTCGTAACTCCTCTGCATTTTTTGCTCATTTTTCATGTTAATTTTTATTTGATCCCTCTTCTTATTTGTCTTCTACACACTTCATAAGCAGCCATTCCGCCGAGGCTGAATTAATTTGCTTAAGAATTTGCAGTTTATTGAATTTTCCTTGCGCAGGAACACAGCGGGTGAGATTTGGTAATGAACTAAATTAAAAAGACTGCGTGATGAGGGAAGTGACTGAGAGTTTGCTCCTGGCATTGGGTTTCCGTGCGTACGGAATCTGTCTGAAGCATCTCAGCACTTTACACTCGCAACGAACATCAGCCCCTGGCTGCCCAAATGCTGACTGCAGAATGCTACTCAGCAAAAGGGCCCACAATCCATAGACCAGCCCTCAGTGCCAGGGCCGCTGCCTGGCATGATACAACAGCCCCAGAAGCCAACAGCACACTGGAGGCCATCCCACTAAAATACAGGGTTCACAAGGTAACTGCAGACAATACGTCTCGTCCACAAAATAGACAGTCAGTTCTCTTTCCAGTCTATTCTGTGATGCGCTTTGAGACGTCTCAATGACGTGATTAGGCACTATATCAAATGTAAGGATTATTCATTATTATTATGAATACAACGTAGCGTCCAATAACAGGTGATTGGGCACTGAGTACAACAACAATAAAATGCATTTTGCCCTCAAATTATAGTCAATTCGCTTTGCGGCATATTCTGTGAAGCGCTTTGAGACGTCTCAAAGACATCATAAGGCGCTATATCGAAAGCACGGATCATTATTGTTATCTATACAGTCCCTTTCACGTCTGGAGGACATCCTAAGGTGCTGGAAAATGAGGGGTTTGCATCCGAGCTGCGGGTTGAGGTCAGACAGGGATGAAGAGGAGGTATGATGACCGAAGGCATGGTCGAAAAGGAACATGACTGTGTCAATCCCCCCTGTGTAACTCGGCTCCCCCACACTGCGACAGAACTTACGTTCTGTGGTTCACTTGTTTAATAACGTTTAGTGTGCTGGTGCGAGGAGCAAGTATGTACAAAGCAAGTGCATCCATGGTGGGACTCTGTCACTCCGCCACATCAAGTCTTACGACACGTGTCAAGATTAAAGAGAACACATCCTGTTCTTTGTCGCACCAGAGGCAACGCCAGGAACTAGGAGTTAGTTAATGCGCTTCCATTTGGTGTAGACTGGGACTTTGATTAGGCTGACAATTAATGAATTGATGGGCGCAACAGGGAGACTCTGTGTTATTCATGGCGCTTGTTAATAATTCTGAGCACTGTCAGCACGGTCTGTCAGATTTACTTCCCATTAGAATAACAAAGAAGGTTGTGTGTTATTATCATAAATGACTGGTATCTTCATCTGAATTGATTCCAGTTTGTAACCGGGAAAGGTCACTCAACACAGGGTTTGGTGATGAATAATACAGGGAGGTCGAGTGGTGCAGAGAGAGAGAGCGAGCGTTTTCTCGACCCTGGGAACAGCGTGGGAACAGCGTGCCCGCTGATGTCAGGGAACTCTCTCCTCTCTGGCAAGGGTCTTTACGAGCAGCTTATTGACTGTAACGAGAATCCTTACAGTCGTCTTGTGTCCCTTCCGTTGAAAGCCTTCTAAGCTTTCCAGTCGAACCCTGCAAGTGACTGTGTATTTGGTAGCCGAACGCTGCAGAACACGGCAAGGCTCCCACAAACAACCACAGAGTGACAAGACTGGCAGATTAATGGGTAGGATTGTCAGCCAGGACTCTGAAAGCAACTACGCTCCTCTTTTCCCACAGTGGTGATGGAGTCTTCCACGTCTGCCTGAACAGAGCGAGAGGGAGAGGGATGGAAGATGACCTCAGCCCGTCAATCATCGCTAGACTCCAGGGCAGAGCGACTGCTGTTGCTCGCGTCCCCTGAATCCTCCGCTCCACCATTGGCGGCCGTGCCTTCAGCCACCTCGCCCCGAAGCTTTGGAACTCTCTTCGTCAACCCCTTCGCCTCGCCTCCTCCTTCCCCATCTTCAGGTCACGCCTGAAGACGTTCCTTTTCGACCGCGCCTACGGTCACCTTCCCCCTCCCCCTGGCTCGGCCTTGGGGCTCCACCATTGTTAAGCGCTCTGAGACTCCGCCCGGCGTGGAGAGCGCTATGTAAGTGCAAGTTGTTGTTGTTCAAGTTGACTTTGTAGGGCTCAGAAGATGTGAAAATGGTTCACAACCTCAGAGTGTTAAGCCCTCGGTCTGTGCCACTTTACCCTCTGTTTTCTTTCTCTCTTCGCTCCCAGCCATCTGTCTGCGATTCCATTATTTGTGCCTGTGTGCAGCCCGGCCCGAGAGGATAGCCTGTAATTTGTTCATTATTGAAACTCAATATTAAGAAGCGTGAATGAATGATAATATTAATGTCCAGGCCTCCCAGCGGAGTGTGCAGCTCAGACCAGGATTTTGCACAACGCTGTGTCTCAGGGCTGAAGGCCTCAGTTGCCCTGATGCTGTGAATTCTCTGCTCTGCCCCACACTGAAACATCTCCTCGCGTCCGTCGCTGTTAAGCCCTGTCTGAGGGAGTTGGTGTCAGCCTGGCTCGGTCAGCCGTGCTCTTTCTTGCTTGTGGGTGGGGGGGAGTGTCAGACAATTGTGGGCTCGCATATTGGGATTGGAGCTCAGAGTCCAGGCTGGCGTTCCAGCGCAGTACTGGAGACAGGGGAGCGTTACATTGTCAGAGGCACTGTCCTTCAGACGAGACATGTGTGCCCCGTTCAGATGGATCCAAAGATCCAAGGAGAATGGAGTTCGGCTATAAATACACAGTCACTAGACTTAACAGTAAAATCCCGTGAAGCACTCTGAGACGTTCAACAAGGTGACACAGTATATCAAGTGCACAGATAATTATTATTATTGCTGGTGTCCGATGTTTCTTAAATACCTCCAGTGGCCTGGCCTGGTTACCCCATTCCACCCTCAGTGTAAAGACACGTATGCTCCCTCCCTCGCTCCCTCCCTCCCTCGGGCACTGACTGAGCAAGTCCCTCTCTCCCTGTCCCAGACTCAAACGTACAGTCACTGGCACAGGAGCCGATGAGGGGATAGAGCTCACAAACAGGTTCAACGTCTAGATAAATGTTTCAATGTTCCTCTTAAAGAATTCAAATCAATTCTGCCACAAGTACTGTAGTGGAAAAGCTTCAAAAGGAGGGTTGCCTGAAGATTGGATCGATTTTTTTTTTACCTTTACACTCCACCGCTGAGCTCATTCTTTCAAACCAATCTCCAACCACTT